GGTGCCTCAGAGCGCAGCCCGCCGCCCTCCAGCCCGCGCTGTCCGAGCAGGCCCCAAGCCCCTCTCCCGCCTCCCGCAGCGGCCTCCTTCCCGCCCCGCCAAATGCAGGCCGCCGCCCTCCCTGAGGAGATCCGTTGGCTCCTGGAAGGTAACGCCCTGGCCCAGCCCCAGGTCCCCTAATTGACCCCTCTGGAGGTCCTTCCAGTGATGGGCTGAAGACAGGGAAGGAGACACCAGTGCCGCCCAGTGCCAGGCTTTCTTATCAACTCCATCACCTTCTAGAACCTTCTTAACCCCCCCAAAGTCTGTTTTCCATTGGCCCACTTCTGGGGAGCCCTGTCGCTCCCTTGAGTTCCACACTTTCTTTTTCCTCAGGAGGTCTCCACCCCTCCACTCGGCCTCCCAGGCCTCTAAGCTCCTGAAGGCCAGGTTCCTGGTCTCCCCTGTCACCTTGCCTGGTTTTCACCTTATCCCGTTCTCCTCAGGACTCCCCCAACATTTGTAGGGTTTGGCCCTCCTCCTTCCTTCCCAGCCCTTACCTCATTGCTTGTCACAGAACTGCACCTTCTTGCAGGGAGGTCCCTGAGGCTTTCAAGGGGGCTGTGAAGGGCTCATGCGTCCTGTGGACCAAGCCTGGTGTTACGTGGGTGTTTGTCAGTGCAAAACCTAGGGCTTCCCTTTGCCAGCCTGCCGCTTATAGGGGTGTCATTGTCCTACCCAAGGCAGACTCATACTCAGTGTTACATTCCTTTCTTTTCTAGAAGTGTCTGTGATGGGGTTACCTTCAGCCCTAATGTCTAAGCAGTCCTTTAAAGAGTTAAAGGCATACTCTAAGCACATACTTCTAATACTCCAAAGAGATGCACCCTGATGGGCAGTATCATCTGTTTGGTTCACACAATGAAAGTAATTTTTTTCTTGCTATCCTGTAACTGACCTTTTAGGGAGGACAGAGGCCTGGAATCTGCAATTGCATAAGGGTCCCAGGAGGAAACTGTTCAGAATTAAGCCTTTTGGCATCTCAGTGATACACTTGACACATATTTAACAGATGGCCTGCTTTGGGCAAGTCATACTTTTGGCAAACTGTACTTTTTTTTTTTTTTTTCAGTTTCTCTCAATTTAATTGGTTTTATATCTCCATTATCTTGTTATCTTAGTATAAATGCCTCCTAATCAAATATTTGGCAAGTCCTTTTGGTTTCTGTTTGAAGCACTGTTTCTATTCTGGATTGCTTCTCTGTAAGAGCTGTCAACTAGGTATTTCTTTTGACGGGAGGTTTTTAACATCCATTTTGCTTGTAACTGGGGTAAATTCTAAACTTCAGGAGTAGAAAACTATTTGTAGGGTAAAATAACATCATCTGGGTATCTGAGAAAAAGAAATCCAGCTGTTCCCTCTGCTGTTAGTTCAGTATTAGACTTGTAAAGGAAGGCTGTAATTGTTTTTGGTTTTCAAGAGAGAAGGAACGGTGGCAAGAAGTTCAATTCTGCCCTTGCATTTTAAAGATATAAAGTGATCCTTTTTATTGGTATCTGTCATTCAGTGAGAAGAAACCTATTTTACAAGCTTGTTAAATAATACTTCAGGGGCTGGGGTTGTGGCTCAGCGGTAGAGTGCTCACCTGGCATGTGCAAGGCCCTGAGTTCGATCCTCAGCACCACATTAAAAATAAATAAAATAAAGGCATGAAAAATACTTGCAGCTTTGGTAGAAAATTTCTTTATGTTTTCAGAGGCTTGCAATGATAGCCACTCCTTCAACATTTTTGATGTGAAGTTCCTTATTGTTCAAAACTGACACTTTGGTAAACAACTCATTTCTGCACCTGCCACCTTCCTTTAGTTTAGATTATTTTCTTGTTAGCTGACTGTTTTTAATTGAAGTCTTCAGATCTCCTTCTAAAGCAGAACCTTTGTTTGCTGACAAGTAGAGCAGGGTATGAATGGAGATTAATTGCATGTCACATACTTCTGTATCAAACTTGCTGTGTCTTAACAATCTCTGTTGGTGCTCAGGTCTTTAGATTATATGGAGGAGTCTGAGATTAAATTTTAAGGAACTTCATTGGTTCATGTATTTCTTTAAGACTGTTTTTTTTAAGCTCTCAATTATAGACTTGAATCTGAAGAAGAGCAAAATATACAATGAGATTCAGTCAATGATTCTGTTGAAATGTTAGAAGAACATGTTTTTGAAAGGTTTGTGTAATAATAGCAATATATTGGTTACAGGGTTTTTTTTTTTTTTTTTTTTTTTTGTGTGTGTGTGTGTGTTTTTTTTGTGGGACACAGTCTGTGGTGCAGGCCAGCAGAATTATTCATTATGTTACAAATAATTTGTGGATATTAGAAACCCCAAATGGTCATTAATTTGATATCTATTGTTATTTACTTGTTTCCCCCACCATACACATTTTAAGGTTAACTATTGATGATTAGAAAATATGTAGGTCTTGATTGTTATATAGTCACTTAGTGGCCTGGAGTCACAGGATGTGAGAGCTGCAGCTCTGCTGCGGGCACATGGCTGTGGGGGTGGAGTTTCCGCAATGAATTACTACTTTCATAAACCAAGGCATAAGCATTTGCACAATGATTTAACACTGGCCATCATAGCCATAACTTAAGCATTTATTTATTTATAACTACACAAGCATTAATGACAGGGACGTTTTTTGACATAATGTGTGTGCTTTTAAAAATAAAATATGTAAAGCCCTGTAAAAGGTTTACACCGAAATTTTGTATAATTAAGAAGGGAACAGAAATTCTGAAGGTCTAACATTAATTTTATTTAAAATTTTTTTAACATGTGACAATGTCTCGTTTGACCTAGAAACCACACTTCTAGGAATTCTCTTACTGAAATTAGATGATACAAAGTATATGCTCAAGGGTCTATCCCAAGTGTCCATGAGTTGGGAAAGGCAGGATGATGGTTGAATGAATTATGAGCCATTCATCTTTTGGAATACTTTACAGCCATTAAAAATAATGCAATGGATTGATTTACCTATTTGTTTATAGATAATGTCCATGGCATGTTTTAAAAACTAAAAAGTAAGACGCATGTAGTATATATAGTATTCCATTTTTTGTTTGAAAACAAAAGGCAAAAACCAAAGAAGTTGGGTGTGATAGTGCAGGCCTAAAATCCCAGCAGCTCTAGGGTTTGAGGCAGAAGGATTGCAAATTCAAGGCCAGCCTTAGTAACTTATTGAGACTCTCAGTAATTTAGTAAGACCTTATCTCAAAATAAAAAGTAAAAAGGACTGGGGATGTAGCTCATTTGTACAGTGCTCCTGGGTTCCATCCCAGTACCAAACAAACAAAGTTTCTATATTTAAATTAGAAAAAAAGGGGCTGGGGTTGTAGCTCAGTAGTAGAGCACTTGCCTAGCACATGTGAGGCACTGGGTTCGATCTTCAGCACCACATAATAAATAAATAAATAAATAAATAAATGTTTAAAAATATTAGGAAAAAACCCCTAAGTCCCATATGGTATGCTTGTATATGCCTAGGAAGAAGTATCTATTTATCTATCTATGTATATATATATAGATAGATATATACATACACACACATGTATACATATGTATACGTCTATATATATATGTATATATGCATGTATATGTATACACACACACACATATCTCAAGCTGTTAACATTGTTTTCTTTAGGAGGAGAGTGAGAGTTTTGGGGGTGGGTTTTTATTAATTTTTATTTCATACATATTCATGTTGTTTGAATTGTGACAATGACCATGTATTAATTTTGTAATCCATGGCAAAAGCAACCAGTAAGGTATTTAGCCAGTAAGGTAATTTTAAAAAAAGGAACAAACAAAAAACACCTAGGGGGCTGGGGATGTGGCTCAAGCGGTAGCACACGCGCCTGGCATGCATGCGGCCCGGGTTCGATCCTCAGCACCACATACAAACAACAATGTTGTGTCCGCCGAGAAATGGAAAATAAATATTTAAAAAATTTTCTCTCTCTCTCTTTCAAAAAAAAAAAACCAAAAAAAAAAAACACCTAGGAATTCAGAGATGTGAGAATGCTAAAAATGATTAGCCACTTTGCAATTCTGTCTTTCTGTTTAACCCTGGGAATTCTCTCTTGGATTTTTGGCAAATTTCAAAGCAGTGAGCACTTCTAGAGCAACTCAGGAAACAGCATCTTCAGATAGACTTTGTCAAGCTCTCATATAGAAATAGGAACTAGTCCTATATCAGCAAACAAGCACCTTATAGATAAGCAAAATAAAAGACATCTTCTGCTTTATTGAAAGAGGAGGAAATATTGAGGTCTGTTTTCAAATAATCAGGCTACAGATGTGGAAGTTATCTTTTTGTTTTTGTTTTGTGATAGCCACCCTGCAAACAAAAACAGTGGAACACTGCCAACTTGCTAATCTTTGTTCCATGGATATAAACATAAACAGTTTCTTCTTCCTGGTCTTTCTAGTCCTATGTTTTGAAGTCAGAAGCAAAGAAGGAAAGTATGAAGGAAGTGGAATAGATATTCCTGCTGACTTTACCTTGATAACTGATGGATCTCAACTGCCTACCTAATACCTACATCCTACTTGAAATATGGATTTGAGCCAAAATAATATCAATAACTTGGCTGCATATAGTAGCAAGTGCTGCGCTAACACTGATTCTGATATGCCTATGGTTACTTATTTTTAAACTTCCTTGGAAAGAAGCAGTCATTAATCATTTCCTTCCAGATTGTTCTCCAGATTTGCACTGGTCGACACAGTCAACCATAAAATCCTTTTTAATATAATAAAACTCCAACTACGAGGAACCTGCAGGAGTGAGTCACTCTGGGTAGCTAAGATTCTCTTTAAGCACCTTAACTTTTTCTTGGAAATATTTGTGACTAATTCTCTAAAATACATTAGGAACTTTTCTTACTTCTTCAACCAACCAGTCTATTTTTTTTAATATTTATTTATTTTTTTTTAGTTTTCGGCGGACACAACATCTTTATTTGTATGTGGTGCTGAGGAGCAAACCCAGCGCCATGTGCATGCCAGATGAGCGGGCTACCGCTTAAGCCACATCCCCAGCCCCCCAACCAGTCTATTGTTAAAATGGACTTTGTCTGAACACTTTTTAATTCAGAGTAGTT